TGGAAAGCTCTGCTCCTGCGCTTTCATGTGATATGTGTGGCATGTCTGTGCGAGCCTGTGTTCGCGAGTAATCCATCCAACAGTAATGTGTGTGCAAAGCTGTATGAAAGCTCTGTTATACATCATTTTAATGTAACTTTATCATTTTTTTTTTGCTGTGAAAATATTGGACTACCGACAAGTGCTTGGCCTTCTCGGAAAGCTACAGTTCCGCTGTTTCACGTGGCTTCTCGCTATGACGCAAGGTCGCAGAGAAAATCCACAGAGAAGAACGGGTGTGAATTTGGACGCACTATGCGTCATTTGGGCTCATAGGGTTAATGCTGCATTCACATGAAATCAGGCAGACAGCAGACTGACAACACCTTCTGAACAGCACTGGAAAAACAAACAGTCCGACGGAATGGCAGAACGGTGAAATTAAACATGCATGACTATATGTTGTGATGTTGATGCTGTATTGTTAACAAAGAATGCAGTGAAATATCTGAATTAAAATTTTTCTGAGTTTATTATTTTATGTAATTTTTCAAATCCCCCATGTTTTCTTTGTGTGTGAGAAAGCTATTTATCATCTGATTGTAAATTCCATCGCAGAGACAAAAGGTTAAAGTATTTAACTTTGAAAAGCAATGCCGTCCACTCTATCACCAGTATTCTCTGCCGGCCTCCCCTCCCGCTCTTGTCCACTTAAATGATATCTGGTTTGCAGTCTACTGTCTCCCTGACTCCATATGAATGCAGCACAAGTGTGCTAAAGAGTCATTTTTATTAATTAGCATTGCCATAAAAAGAGGAAAAAGTGAGTATGTTGCAGCTGTAAGGCTTGTTAGTTTGTCCATTTTTAATGAGGAAACATGTCAGACCTGTTTGTTGAGTGGGTGAAAAGACATTAACGTCAACATAAGAAATGGCAGTAATGGAGGAACATCTGCTCCGTCAGACTTTCATCATACCTTTTTTTATTTACTGAGGAAAAGCTGCACAGCAAGATTTTGCAGTGCTGACACAAACTGTACTAACCTAAAATGAAGACTGAGATTTTAACATAATGAATTTGCAGGAAATATATAGAAGACATCTAATAGGTCTGTCTTCCTGCTTTGGATAATGCAAATCATGTTTGAGACTGTTTATTAAGCATTAACACACACTCAGAGCCGGCCCTCAAACAGTAGATGTTTTCAGTGATAAGATAAAATCTAGCTGGTCGCCTGTTCCGTGGGATCCTGCTGTTGCATCATGGTCCCTGAGCATCGCTGTCCTGTCTCTCACAGCACGTACTCATTGCGGCTGCCATTAAAAATGAATGGCCATCGTGACTCACGTTCTGGCTGTTTATGTAAGCTTCTAATGTGTGTTTGCCTTGCTGAGAGCTTGAATTTACTGCTTATACACACACACACACACACACACACACACACACACTGAGAAACTGTCCACTGCAAGGGAAGCTAAACTTCCCAAACTAACTGTTTATTTTCAAAAGGCCTCTTCCCTCTTCCTGATAAAGCTTTACTGTTAAAGTTTGTTTCATGAGAATCCAGCCAGCTGTATAAGAAGAATCACAGACTCAAACTTAACCTTTCCATGTAAATCTAACATCATTTCTCAGGGGCAATATGACAAAAAAACATGAAGCCGATACAGGCTTAGGGATGAACAGGAACATGCATGTGAAACAGTTAAGCCTCTTAAAAGAACACAACTGTTGAATGCTGAATTCATCCTCTTAAATGTGGTGATAGTAGTGGCAGAGGTGGTATTATGCCTCATCAGTATAGCCATTATGATTCTAAATAGCATAATCGAGTGTGGAAACCACATGCAGACACCTGTGTCGGCTGTGATAGCCATTAGCCGGGCTTCATTTGCCTGCTTCGAGCTCTTATTTGTTTTGTTTTTTTCCCCACAAATGCCACGCAGACAGACAAGCTGGTTAAAACAAAGTGTGGAAAGTGAGAGGTTGATCTTTTACATATCAGTCAGCCCATTTGCAACATTCTAGCATGTGATTTGACTATGAATAAAGTAATACACCACTGGCTGCAACAGACTTCCCATGTCGTGACGGACTGGCAGAAACCTGCTTTGGATTCATTGTTGTTGTTTGTTGGAACATGATGTTTGCTGATGATTATCTCTCTGGCAGAAAAAGTTTTTTTGTCACACACAAGCAGTCTACACATCCAGCAAACACTGTATCTCCTAACTTTTGTAGTAGTGTAAATTCCCCCTCTAGAAGTGTTTCTGCTATGATTAACAATATGTATAACATGTTTTTCCCACATAAAAAGTAAACTGGGGAGATCAGTCTGGTTATAGGAGAGTAGCGTTAGATTGAGCGGTGCACATCAGGATGGTTTGCGTGAGCAGTACAGGAAACATGGGAGAGATTAATAACCTTACATGTTTGAGCCTCAGCAGACCCAGACTCAGGCAAGGAGTCTGTTGTGCAAATGTATCAGAATCATAAGCTATCACTGACTGACATTTGAGAGTTAATCACTATTGTTGATGAGCTGTTTTAGCTGTTGTGTTTACTCAGCTATTGTGGTGCCTTACTGACCAGAGAAACTTTACTGTGTAGTGTAAAATGTTAATACAAGGCCTTGCTGCCTTTCCAGTGAGCCCAGGTAGAGTCCACTATCTGACTTTGGTGTTGTAAAAGGAATATTGCGACATTTGGGGAAATACGCTTATTTACTTTCTTGCTGGAGTTAAATAAGAAGATCATAATTGATCCCCACTGTTTGTCCAGGAAATTCTGTCTCCTTTCTTAATGAGGAGATAGCAGGTCAACAGTATATGCCACATTGAAGTGGTATTCATTATCTGAAAGCTGGGATTATGTGTGTGTTAAGTTCTTGTCACACAGATTTGGTGATATATTTAAGAATTTTGGCCACTTGAGATTTGATTAAAGAAATCCTTACAAACAATCACATTAAGACACAG